TCTTTATTTGCAACTTTTTGAGAAAGCGCCACAATGCTTTCCACAGTGGTTGTACCATTTTACACTCCCACCAACAGTGAATCAGGTTCCCAGTCTCTCCACAACCTCGCCAGCATTTGTTGCTTGCTGTTCTGTTAAATTTTGCTAGTCTTACTGGAGTGAGATGATAGAATACATTTTTGTTTCTTGTAACTGTTGGTGATTTTCTTTATTTAAGCAATAGATACTTGGATTTGAAATTCTTTTGCTTGATTTTATTATTGCAAACAGAAGTCGAGAAGACTGGTAACTGTAAGTATCCCCCTTCATATTTTCACCCTTCATGGCTTCTCTGCTGTTTGCTTAAGTTGTGGCAGTTTCTGAGGCCTAACATCGGTTTGTTAAATTATGGAGCCAGTTTCTCTATTTGTGAAAAATATGTTCTTTTGGAATAAAATGTTTTTAGGTAAACTTTTACATTTTAGTTTTCTTATTTTCCTTGTAAAATATTTTCAATTATGTTGTAAAAACATAAATCTAGTTCTTTGTTTTAGAGCCAACTGTGTTATTAAAACAACTGTGTACTTTACATCCTCTCAAATGCTGAGTTAGTGTTTACAGAATCAGCCTTATTCTGCTTCATCTAAACTAAGCTATTGGAATGGACCGTCTTCTCCCATGGAATTTATAGCCTCTGAAAACTCTCTGGAGGGTCAGCTACGAATCGGTTCCACTTTAACAGCAATGAGTTTGGTGGTGGTTCATATGTGTGTGTGTTCATGAATGTCTCAAAAGTACTGGAGTATTGATTTTAGCCTTAAAAATAAATTTACAGAGTTGGAAAAATTGCAAACACAGACTTTATGAATAATAGATTTAATTAGGACTAAGGCTATCATTGATACTTAAACCACACATCATTCCCAGATTCATTGATGGGTGCTAAAATGTAGTGAATTATTTAAACACAGATAATCAGAAGTAAAAAATATTCACAAAAGATAGTCTCTATGAACCTAGTCTTTTGGCCACCTAAAGTACCACTCTGAGACTAAGTTACTAATGTCATTAAGATATTGTTAAAGAACTACCATCATACACAGTATCACGTAGTACTGGAAGTAGTCCATCAAGCAGTTGAGCACAAGTGGTTATGGTATAGTTAAAAAAGTAAAGGATTGTATCCTTTCACCACACTTCCTAAGTCTGTAGACTGAGAAAATAATCCGAGAAGCTAGACTGTAGGAGACTCATTAATGTTAATTATGGAAATGACCCACCCTTGCTTGCAGAAAATGGTTAAGACTTGACACACTTACTGATGAAGCTCATCACTATAGATTATACCGCAACATAAAAATCCTTACAACACAATAAATGGAGAAAAGATTAAAGCTTTCAGAGATTATGTTTTACTTAGATCCATAATCAACACCTGTTGAAGCAGTAATCAGCAAATCAAACAGTATGCCTCACGGGCACGTCTGCTAACATGGACCTCTTTAAAGTGCTCCAGAGCAATGATGTCACTTTAAGACTCACCTTAGATTTGGTATTTTCAATTGTATGTGGAAGTTGGACCATGAATAAAGAAGACTGAAGAATTAATGCCTTTGAATTGTGGTGTTGGAGAAAAATATTAAATATGCTATGGACTGCCAAAAGAACAGACAAATCTGTCGTGGAGGAAGTGTAGCCAGAGTGCTGCTTAGAAGCAGGGCTCGTGAACCTTTTGTACTTTCTTATGTACTTTGGACATATTGTCAGGAGGGTGGGTCACTTCTAGAGAAAGACATTATGCTGGATAAAGTAGTGCGTCAGCAAAAAAGCAGGACAACACAACAAGACGAATTGACACAATGGCTGTACAAGGCTCACGCAGTGATTGAGAGGATGACTTGGGACCAAGCAGTGTTTTGTCTGGTGAATTCAAATTAATGACCAGTACGTTACATACTGTTATCACTGAGATTCCTTAGTTCATACATAGTCTTGTTGAAGGAGAAGATGCTCTAAACAATTACATGATAATTAGCAGTTTACCTTACAAAGTATAGTAGATTAGAGAGCTCTGGTGATGTGGTGATAAAAAAATGCTTTACAGTCCCAAAGGCACACGGTTCAAATTTGCCAGCTACTCCACAGGAGGATGGGCAGTCTCCAGGAGTGCAGTTTACTGCCTCGGAAAACCCAGTGGAGGGTCAGCTGTGAGTCTGTTCTGACTCGATGGCACACAACAACAATAACATGCAGTAAATGATCCCATTTGATCTTCTTGGTGACCTTGTTAGATGAGTGTTTTACTCTCCTTATTATAAATACAGAATTCCAGTCTCATTAAGTAAATTATTCACTCAGCTTTTTTGCTCCATATTCAGCAGTTCAACTTTTCTGCTGTAAAGCTTGTTCTTTACATATTTCAAGGCAAATAAAGTTGAGGGAGGGGTGGGCAGGGAGAAAAGTGCAACAATGAATGAATGGAAATTCAAAATCTCTGTAAATGGTTACTGAAATTAATAAAATAAATTTTTTAAAAAAGGTTGACTCTAGTGAAACACAGGTTTTTCAACTAGAGTAACACCATGTAATGTGCCCCAAAATCAAAGTATTACTCGTTTATTATTTTCTTTATTAATTAATGAAACTGGCTCAGGACAGGGCTCAGAACTGCTGTACATAGTGTCACCTATGGGTGGCAGGCAACTTGATGGCACATAACAATATAAACTTATATGCCAGCTTTTAAAGATACTGCATGTTAATGTTTCCTGAACTTAATAAAGTATAGAGATACTGGTTTGAGTTATGCAGTAATAATATGATACGCTGTTTATTATTTTCTAAAAGATGCCTAGATATAATGAAGAAATTGTAAAGAGAAAGGATTTTTAAATAAACGAAAAGGGATTTTGGTTCACAATGTTGTTGTTGTTGTTATGTGCCGTCGAGTGGTTTGCGACTCATAGCAACCCTATGTACAACAGCCCTAAACCCTGCTCTATCCTGTACCAATCGCATTGCTTCTGACACATCCATCCCGATTACTCCAGTCACTGAATGAATCCACCTCATAGAGGGTCTTCCCCTCCTGCGCTGTTCCTCTACTCTACCCAGCATGATGTCCCTCTCCAAAGACCTGTCTCTCCTTGCAACATGTCCAAAATATGTCAGGCGAAGCCCCAGAATCTTTCACATAGATTAAAAAATCCTACAAATCCTATTCCTTCTTGATATTAGTTTCCAAAAATGTTCATAGGCTTTCAAGAGAATCACATCAGAATTCTAATGAAATTTCTTTTTAATAGCATAATCCTTCACTAATGCATCCTTCAGTAGCTTTAATTTGAAAAATATCTTGGTGGTGTAGTAGTTAAAACACTCAGCTACTAACCAAAAGGTCCATCATTTGAACTCACCATCCACTCCATGAAAGAAACAGAAAAGCAGTTCATTGCTATGAAGCTAGAATTAACTCATTACTGACTGGGTTTTCGGAGACTCTCAATCATACAGGAGGAGATTGCTCATCTTTGGCCTTCAGACAGGCTTACCTGCCAGGCCACCCTCCCTACCAGTTTGTAGCAGTTTGCTTTCTATTAGGGTATAATGATTATTTAAGCCACTCTCCCAACCTGTGCTTTCAAATGTGAGTGGGCCAAGTTCCTACCTTAACAAAAGAAGATAGAGGAAGATTTACATTTTATTCATAATAATTATTACTAATAGTTGAGACTTCTGTTGTTTATCTCTAAAGCCCATAAATAATTTTTTTTTTGCCTGTCTCAGTTCTAGGCACAGACAGAGTGGAGCAGATGACCAAAACTTACAATGACATCGACATGGTTACACATCTGCTGGCTGAGGTAGGATTATGTCTTTTCTTTATCTAGTAGAGATGGCTAAAATATGATCATCTGGAATCTATTCCATTTGCATACCAATGAAAAATGATGATGTCTGTGGTTGTGGTTGTGGTTGTGTGCCATCGAGTTGGAACTGATCCATAGCTGATGGTTTTCAGAAACAGTAAATTGCACAGGAGGATTTTGTCCATCCTTCTTCCACAGAGCAGTTGGTGGATTCGAACATAGAACTGGCATACTAGCTAGCATTCTAAAGTAGAATGATTACTGAAGTTTACTGTTAGGGAAGTTGTAGAGGATTTATTTTTGTTTATGGTATGAGCTGACCTTTGAGTCCTAGACGGATATTAACTTAAAAAAAAAAAACAACACAAAAAACTCCAAACCTGCTGTTCCTCCCCCTGTGACAGAATTGCCTGTACAACAAAGCAGCTCAGTTATAAATCAGTGCCTATACTTAGAAGCATCTGTGTATATTCCTTTGCAGTTTAGAACTGTTATTTATACTCACTTTGCCCGTGACATTTTAAAAATATATAGAAATTGACAGTTGTAGAACTCCCTCCTTGTATCTTAATTTTGGTTGATGTAAGGGAAGGAAGGCTTCCTTTTTTGGTAGAGCACTCCCTCACCCTTACCCCTCTACTGACCATCTCCAGCTCCCAGAATGATTTCCACGTATGCTACTTCGCTTATATATAATATGAGAGAGTCCTCAAGGAGGCCTTTAAAAATTAAAGTAATCCGGCACACCCATGTTTATTGCGACTTTGTTCATAATAGCAAAGAGCTGGAAACAACCCAAATGCCCATTAACAAACGAATGGATAGCGAAGCTCTTGCATATTCACACTATAGAATACTATGCAGCATTGAAAGACAAGGAGCTAATGAAATATGCAGTATGGATGGCCCTGGAGAACATTATGCTGAGTGAAATAGCTCAGTCACAAAAGGGCAAATATTGCATAGGGCCACTGTTGTAAAATGGGACTGACATCAGGGTTGAGGAAAGACTGAAAAGGAGGGGAGGTATTGCATTGAAATAGATGAGGGAGAGAACTGTTTCAAAGGGACATATGAATGGGTATTCTTGTCATTACAGAAGTCCAGAGTGAAGGCTGCATAGTGAACTTGGGGGAAGGGACTGCATAACAATGAAAGAGTTTTTCTTTTTCTTTTCAAGGAGAAGAGTGAATTGGTGGGGGGAGGGAGAAAAGTGCAACAATGAATGACTGGAAACCCTAAGTCTCTGTAAACTTTCATGAAAATTCATTTTAAAAAAGTTAAACCTTCAGCCTTTTTCCTAGTGCTGTAGAAAGAACAGAAGCTTAGTTTTATTTGTAATGAGCAGGACCCTTATTACTCCTGAAGACAGTGGGTGCATATTGAGTTTTTCATTGTATGGAGTACAGTCCTTACCCACTGTGTAGATGAGATTCTTTCCACCCTTCCTAGGTAGGTATCATCATCTCCTCAGAAAAGGTAACTCTTGCTGATTTCCTTGCTTCTCTTTTTCATTACCACATACTTTAGACTTTCTTCTTTGCTTAACTTTAGGCCGAAGGCTGTAGCCGCAAAACCTCCAGTGTTTTGTTCTCTATTTTTTTAGACATCATCATCTTGCATGAGTTGAACAACAAGGCCTCTTGTGCTCCCCCTCCTCAACCCACTGGCCAGGCCTCTGGCTTTGAACGCATGTATTCTTTGCCTTAAATTGTATTCTTTTAATATCTACCCAGTCCAACAAATGCTTTTCATGCTTTCAATAAATATTTATTGGGCTTTTATTATTTGCCAGACCCTGTCCTCTTGTAAGAACTATTTGTACTGATTTTTAAGCTTTCTAAAATCTTGAGTTTAAAGCTTAAATATTGAATTACTGTGGTCTGTTTACTAGAATGATCAGTAAATCTTATGCTTATCAAGATAAGAGATGTCTTCTTACATTTTTAACAACCATGGTCCTCCATTTGGCCAGTGTTTATTAAATACCACCTGAATAAATCTTGATGCCCCCTAGGACATATTTTCTTTTTAAGATTAGAAAAAATGACTGCATAATTTCAAAACTATTTAATTTTGTTTGTATTCAAAGCAGAGGTATCTTTAATGTTTTAACAGAGAGATCGAGATCTAGAACTAGCAGCTCGAATTGGACAAGCCCTCTTAAAGCGGAACCATGTCTTGTCTGAGCAGAATGAAGCCCTGGAGGAGCAACTGGGGCAAGCCTTTGATCAAGTAAGCCTTTGGTCAAGTATTTGGAGCTTGAAATAATTAGATACTGTGCAATAGAAAAAAAAATGTCATCTTCTAGGTGCCTCTGAGGTGATAACATCTGGCAAATAATACCACTGTACGCTGACTTTGTTGGCAAGCATTATAGTAGCCAGTAGAGAAATGAAGTGTTACAGGACAAAGAAGTGTTCATGTGATTCTGCCTTAGTCAATATAAAGCTCTGTGTTTGGCAACTGCATACCTGTGACATCTTGCTTAGATTCTAGTGCTTTATCCTTACCTCTGTTGGTAACCTTTATATGTGATCTCACCTTAAGTTTATTTTTAAAAGATTTGAAAATAATTCATGTAGATATCTTGGCTCAAAGACAAAACTATAATTAAAAAAAGAAGAAAATTCAGATGTGTTTATTTCGGAAATATTTGCAGTGAGAAGTGGCTTATCGATCACTTTAAAAATAATATCAAGTATTATATAACTTTCTACTCTTAACTAATTTTATTAATATTTGTAAATTATTCAGAAGGTCTGCAAAAAGGCTTTTGTAATGAAAATATTTCTTCCTATAATGAAAGTCAGTATTCCTAAGAAAATACTTATATTAAATGTATAAACAGAGTTGAAAATTGTGAAGTTTCTTCTGTTTTGTTTTGTTAACGGAAAACGTGAAAGTTTTACTCTGTATTCTTATTATGTTAAAGATGAAAATTGGCTTCTCAACTCGCTGAGCACAAGAAAGCTGTATTGTCAAGTTAATGGTTTAAAATTGTAGCTGGAGAAATCGGAAATTTGTTACTCTCTTATTAGCAAATTACTTTAATCAGCAAAAACTGATACTGTTTTATGGCAAAAAGCAATTCCTTTTCTTTAAAATCTGTGTAATAAAAAAAATTTTAAAAAATCTGTGTTATATAAGTAATATAAAATAAAGAACACCTAATAAGTAAAGCTCATTTGTGTTCAGGTTAATCAGTTGCAGCATGAACTGTCCAAGAAAGAAGAGTTACTTCGAATTGTCTCGATTGCTTCAGAAGAGAGTGAAACTGATTCCAGCTGTTCTACACCTCTTCGGTTCAATGAATCCTTCAGCTTGTCTCAAGGTCTGCTCCAGCTGGACATGCTGCAAGAAAAACTTAAGGAACTGGAAGAAGAGAATATGGCTCTTCGATCTAAGGTATGTTATTAAAATTCTAATTTTATTTTATAAAGGAGATAGGTAAGGTTTAGATCAAGGTAGTATTGAGTGAAATATGGCATCATTAGAGCAAGCTAAAGCATTTGCAATTGACATTTCAGTTGGGGAGTGGTGGACAAGGCCTTCTATTGTTACTGAGAAAAGTAGAAAAAGTAGGTAGATGATAGCAAGTTAAAGAAAGAAGGAGAGAAAGGGACTATATAGACATATCTTTTGGGGATTATACAATAGATAATTCCAAATGTGTTAAGAACTTAAGGCAGAAAATGATAAGATCCTGTGAGATTGTATAATTAGTAAAGAGTCTCTTAAGCTAGTAACATTTTAGCTGAGGCGAGGGATTAGTCAAGAGATGTATGGGACATTGGGGTGGAGGCAGGTGAGTAGGGTGGGTCAGGGGCATAGGAATGACAGAGGCAAAGGCCTGGGAGCAGTAAAGGCAGAGATGCTTATTTTGTCCTTTTCTATACCTTTATTTTATGATAGATAAAGCTTCATGGGGGATTTTTTTTCACCCCCAAGGTAAGTGATGAACTTAATCATCACATGAGAATTAAAGGTTTTTAATAGTTATTCCTTTGGTACCATTGCAATATATTACCAGTGTTTCTTTTCTTGAAGGCTTGTCACATAAAGACCGAAACTATTACCTATGAAGAGAAGGAACAGCAGCTTGTCAACGACTGTGTTAAAGAACTTCGTAAGTGTCAGGGTACTCTTTTGCTGCTTTGGATGATTGTGTGGGAGGCTGCCTCCAGTACAGAAACTAAGCCAGTGGATTCAGTAGAAGCATTTCAAGAAATAATATATTTTTTAAAAATGTTACTGAAAATGTTAGCGCCAACATCAAACTTACATGAAGCCTGTACTCCTACTAAAAATGTCTTTTTTTTTTCCATTATAAAATATGGAGCACTTCACAAACTTGCGGGTTGTCCTTGCTTGTGCAGGGGTCATGCTAATCTTCTCTGTATCGTTACAATTTTAGCATATGTGCTCCCGAAACAAGCACTAGATGTAATTTTTTTTTTTTATCTTTTATGTGTCATTTTTAAGATTCCCTCTTTCAGACTACTGTAATCATTAAATAAAGACCTATAATCCTACAAATGAAATTCAAGCTTGTTAGAGTAGAAAGAACCATAGCTGTCATTTTGTTGATAAGAAATAGACCTATCAAGGATCTGATTTACCAAAGTCAGAAATTGGTCAATAGGCAGAATCAGGATTTAATAATGACATAAACACCCAACATTTATTAAGTGCTCTATGTATCTCTATGTTTTGGCTTCAAGTAATGCTAGCTTAAATCCTTTCTGTTACTTACTGGAGAAAGGTCTTATAATTATTTCTTTATAAATGTTTGAGCTTTTATATTGTAAGAGCAGATCTGACATCACTCCGCCTCTTCGGGTGAGGACTTTGTAACGTGCTCCCTTACAATGGTAGCATTCGAGAGCTAACAGGAACCCGAGTTGAGTCTCCTGCTCTGCTGGCACTGCCGTTACCCTCCTTTGACACTTTAATAAGCAGAGTAGAGATGACTTGCTGAATAGCTCGTGCCCAAACTTCTGCCTCCTTATTGCAACATTTTGAATGAAATATTATTCATTTTTAAAATTTTCTTTTTATTCCAAGGTGAAACAAATGCTCAGATGTCCAAAATGACTGAGGAATTGTCAGGGAAAAGTGATGAACTGATCCGATACCAAGAAGAGATCTCCTCACTCCTGTCTCAGATTGTAGATCTTCAACACAAACTTAAAGAAGTAGGTTTATTTTTTTTCATTCCCAAGATGTTTATTAATCATTTACCTGGTTGGTATGACACCATCTGCCAGGTGCCAGATACACTGAGCAAAATAAATACAGTCCCTGCTCTAATAAGTATTTTAGCCTGATTTCTGTTTAATCTTCCCTCTTTTGTGAAAACTATGTTGAGGTCACAATGTCTCTGTAAAATGGGAATAGATTTCCTTAGAAAATTGTAGTGTGAATTGACTCCTGCTCGTTTTCCTTTGAACGCCTTGAAGTATTTTATTTTCTCCTTTTATTGCTTATTCAGGTTTTAAGAGGCTTTTTTATAGACCTCTAGGCTATAGTCCTGGGGAGCTCTGGTTGCCTCGTAGTAAGAAGCTACATTGCAATCCCAAAGATACTTGGTTCAGATCCACCACTTTCTCTTCGTGAGAAGGATAAGTAGTGTCCTCCTGTACAATACTGCCTATGAAAACCTGCTGAAGGATCAGCTATGAGTCTGTTTCAACTCGATGGCATACAGCACAATAACAAGAGACTATATTGCAGACTCCTAAGATACCTTAGAGAGCAAGAGAAAAGCTATATGTTATACGGAACACGTCATATGTCCCTTATTTATGTTGTCAGCATGTGATTGAGAAGGAAGAACTAAGACTTCACCTGCAAGCCTCTAAGGATGCACAGAGACAACTAACAATGGAGGTAATGCGATCTTCCTTTATCTTAAGTAATGGGGAGGGAGTATATGAGTAAAAATAGCAAAAATCTCTTGCTTTCTGTGTACGTAAAATTTCTTCATGTAGATATAAAAACGTTTTATTGGTAGAAGAAATTTTTGCTATCTTCACTAAGGACCAAAACTACATTAAGAAGCATCCCAGTTCTGTTGATTTTGATTAGCTGATGGATATCCCACAATTGAAGAAATGCTCTTCTAATCCTTAAAAGGAAAAGCTTTATTTGATTATAATATTTACCTAAATATAACTGTACACTTGAGCATTTTTGAAGTTAAATGTGCACCAGAAATTAAGCACTCTTCCATATTTGTGAATCTATCTATAAAGTAGATAGAAAATAAGAACAGTAATCAAAAAGTCAACTACTTCTTAGAGAGTTTGCGTACTCTGGCATCATATATAATGCTTAGGCTCTTGGTCTTGTATATTATGGACTTCTGGGTAATGTTTTTTAAAGATTACCATTGTGCTAATCTTTTATCAGTTACACTGTTGTTGTTCGGTGCTGTTGAGTTAGAGTGGCTCTGTATGACAGCGGATCAGCACCTTGCCCTATCTTACACCACCCTTACGATCTCACATGCTCGAGCCCATTGTTACACTGTGTCAATCCATCCCTTGAATCCATCTCCTCTCTTTCTCTAACCCTCCACCAATCCCCGCATGATGTATTTTTTTTTCCAAGAATTGTCCGCTTCTTGGAAAGACAACAATACCTAAAGTATGTGTGATGAAGTGTCACCAGCCAGAGTCTCCAAGGAGTGAGCACTCTGGTTGCACTTGTTCAAGATAGATTTGTTGATTCTTTTGGCTCCTGTATTTTCAATATGCTTCACGAACACCACAATTCTATTAAAATTCTTCCTTTGGTCTTACTAATTCATTGTTCAACTTTTAGATGCATATGAAGCAGTTGAAAATACTATGGCTTGAATCAGGTGCACCTTAGTTTTTAAACTGATATCCTTGCTCATTAACACTTTGGAAATGTTCTTGACAGCAGATTTTCTCAATGCAACAGTTGTTTAATGTATAAAAAAATTAAGTACAAGTAGAGTATGATGAATTGAAAGTTGAATGGGCAGTTTTGGTTCTCTTAGCTGCATTTCCAGTTTTTAGGAATTCACGTTTCTTTCTCATTTTATCCAAGAAACTCAGAATTCTGATACCTTGGATACATACTCTCTTTGCTTAGTTTTTCCTCAAAGTCTGTGTATTAAAATATTATTCTTAAATTATTCTTAAATTTAGCCCTCCGGATAAAATTAGTCCATCATATGGATTCCTACTCCCATTGTTGTTTTGAGAAAATAGTAAAGTACACGAATCACCCTTTTCTTTTAGCTGCATGAGTTACAAGATAGGAATATAGAGTGTCTGGGAATGCTACATGAATCCCAAGAAGAAATAAAGGAACTCCGTAGTAGATCTGGACCTGCTGCTCATCTCTATTTCTCCCAGTCATATGGTGATTTTTCTGGGGTAAGGAGCTGGGGAAGCTGCTATGTATTTAAGAAAGCTTGCTTAAAATGAGATTGTCCTGGGAATACTATGGTTCATAGTGGTGCAAAGCATCAAGAGAAGAAATAGCATGGTTTATATTACTGTTATAGGCCTAAGCTTATATGTATTTATCTTCTACAGTGCTCATTTGTGGTAGCCTGCCTTCTAAGATGACGTTCCAGTTTTGTTGTAATGCATGAGATGAGCCTCAAGGAAATCAGGTTTCTATTGATATTGATATTGAGGAGTTGGTGGCCTACTCTGTAACCAAAAGGTGCACATCTCCAGCAGTTGGCTCTCCCAGCCCACTCTCGGGATGAGGGTGGGGAAACGAGCGTCTCCTCCTATAAAGATTTACAACTTCAGATACCAGTGGAGAGTCCTTGTGAGTCAGGATTAAATCAACGATATTTATTTATTTATGTTAGCACTCAACTCATTGCCTTCAAATCAGAACTGGCTCATAGCTGACCCTTCAGCAAGTTTTCAGATGCTGTAAATCACACAGGAGGAGATGGCCCATCCTCTCAAGGGGCAGCTAGTGAATTTCAGTCAAGCACCTTTGGGTTGGCAGCATCACTTCCTACCAGTTAGGCCACTAGAAATACTTAACCTGTATATCACCTTTACCTTAGACCCACCGTGTGCCACTTACTCAGACAGTGCTCTGAACATCAAAAAACTCTTTCAGCTAAGTAGCCCTATGAGGGCAGGGATATTTCTTTAGTTCATCAACCATATTTTTTAATTGAAAAAAGTCTGATTTTATTCAGAATTTGTATTACTGTTTCAAGGCATTAATTTAATAGTCTAGTTCTTAAATACTTATGCACAATCTTGTGGCATTTTTTAAAACACCAAAAGTATAAATTTTAGTTAATTTTCTTGAGGATAAAATGTCATGAATGTTGCTTGGTTTTCTAAACTTGAACTAAAGTTGCAAGAATACTACAAAGAACTGTAATATATTATTCTGGAAGCAGGAGTAGCATCCATTTCCTAAACAACACGTAATATATTCTGGATCTCCCATTTTTTAACGGTTGCTTTAACTTTCTCGTTCTTATTATCTTTCCTGGATTATTCAAGGGTAGGCTATAAATAGGTTCTATTACCCTGAAATACTTTGTTTTTTTAAAAGCAAGATTCCTTTCAGAGACTCTTTCGTACTTACCTAGGCTACAAGCATTAACAACAGAAAATTGGCATTGATTCGCTTGATAAAGCCACACAGCCCATTCAGATTTTACCAGTTGTACCAACAATAGTCATTAAAAGACACATTGCTTTTAGTTGTTAAATATCAGATAGGAATACCATAGAAATAATAGTGTGTTCTTTGGTACAATGGGTACTGTATAGTGTCCATTTATTCCATAGTTGTTGTTAACTTTCATCATTTTATTAAGAAAGTGACTACTAGTCTTTTCTACTGTAATCTAAATACCTAAAATAGAGATGCAGTGTTATAATTCACATATGATTTATTTTTTATTTAAATTGTCCGGGCTTTGGCCAATGGGAAACTCCTTTGTGCTGTTTTTGCAGGTTTTTTACATATTCCTATTCTTTTACGTTGAAACATAGCAATGCTTGTGAGAATGGAGTAGATAATATTCAGTTCTGTTGTGCATAAATCGGAACACCAACATTATTCTTTGAATATCTCTACAGCAGTATTTTCCCTCGGGAAAAAAAACTATTTCAGGCTCATCATGTCCTGAACACGGAATCACTTATTTCTTCAGTATCTTTGACCCCTTTTCATGAGAATTGATATTTAGAATTCCAGTGTGATTTACTGCTTCTGAAAATCCACAGGAGGGTCAGCTATGAGTTGGTCCTAACTTGATGGCAAAACAACAAGGTCTGGGTGCTAAATGTGCACCCTTCCACCAAAGTACCGTTGCTGTTAGGCTCTTTCAGCAGATAGCGCTAGAAATATTTATATATGTACATGTAGATGAAGTATCTTATACACGGTACTCATGGATGTCTTTCTGTCCATGTTTATATTCATGTCTTTATTAAAAATCACAAGTAAGCCACCCCTACTAGTTGAAGCCTCATTCTTCTCAAAGGAAGGAGAATATAGCTTTTATTTTTTTTATATTATAAAAGCTGTGTGTTGTTTATTATAAAATATTTTAAAGTTACAAAGAAAGGAAAACAAATTGTCAAATAACATTAAATCTTGTCCTTCACAGTATTATTTATTAACATATTAGTTTATATCTGTTTAGACCTTTTAATATATCTGTATATGTAATATTTTCAACCTACCACTGTTTTTAATATTTTCCTATAAAACTGTCATAAAAATAGTTTGTTTTTATTTCATTTTCCAGAAAGTGTATTTTTATGCTGAGATGCTTTTCTTACATGTCTATTTATTGAAATACCAAAGGACTGATTTATTGAAATACCAAAAGACTGATTATCGAAGGGTATTTCCTTTGCTTTAATAGAATTCTTGTGTACTTCTTAGGAATCTCTCGCAGCTGAAATTGAGGGGACCATGCGTAAACAGTTAAGTTTGAATGAAGAGTCTTCTCTTTTTAAACAAAAGTAAGTACAGATCAAATGTCTAGTTACCCAATCTTTGGAATGGAAATAAGCTACTAAATTGAGCTTTTTGTCTAAATGAGCTAATTGTCTAAAATGATAAGGATTAGAGAGAATACATGAATGCCTTCCTGCAAGTCTCTTCCCCCTACAACCCTGTTGTGCGAAAACTCATATATGAGATATTTCTCTTATCCTAAAGTTTATTTTCTATGATTTATCTTAATCAGGATGACTTTCTATTTAACAAACTGCACATACCTCTTTCTTTTCTAACACAATCTGGAGTAATGAACATTTCTTTTTGACAGAGCCCAACAGAAACGGGTATTTGATACCGTCAGGGTTGCCAATGATGCAAGGGGACGTTCTCTCCCATTCCCAGCTCTGCTGCCCATCCCAGGCTCCAACCGTTCAAGTGTCATCATGACAGCAAAACCTTTTGAGTCAGGTTTACAGCAAACTAATGACAAAACAGAAGAGATTCCTGGGTAAGAAACTTAGATCATAGCAGTAATTCTGTGTTTCTTATGGAGCTGACAATCTCTTTTCAAGTACAGCCAGTAGGCTTCTTAAAAATAAGGAAGATGAGATGTCTTTCTGACATATTTTAGGCTTGTTTTCATAAAGGACCAATCCCTGAAGAAAGTCAACATCTTAGTAGAGAGAGAGGGGGAGACCCTCAATGAGATAGATTGACACAGTAATGATAGATTGGCTACAATAATGAGCTCAAACACAGCAGTGTTTATGAGAATGACAAGAACAGGGAAGTTTTTGGTTCTGTTGTACTAAAAAGCTTAATTAGAAAGTCAAGTTCTTACAGAACTCTCACACAATTAGCTTTCAGTTGTTTTGCCTGTCTGTAGTAGGCAGTGTTCCACAGCTAGAGTAGCTTCATATGTGATTGCTGCCTCATAGTACACAGCTAACTTGGGAGAAGGGTTAACAATGTAAGGTTTCTTAAAAATCGATATGAAAGAGTAGCTAAGCAAGTTGCAGTTACTTAAGGCTACAGGGTATGGATTGTATAAAACTGTTTGTTATATTGTCTCAACTTCAAAATTACTGAAAAGTGAATAAAAAGTACAACTTAAAACTATGAAAATGTTGTTTTACACAGGTGTTCCTTTTTTTATGTTCTGTAGTATTTGTGGAGGAGTCTATGGCCCAAAGAAATTTTTTTCACCTTTAATGTTATGTTGATTAAATGAATATGCCTTACAGTTAATAGCATATCATAATTTAATAGATAGCATTTTTTTTCTTTCTTATTAGTACATACTTTGGACATGTTGCAAGGGGAGACCAGTCCTTGGAGAAGGACATCATGCTTGGAAGGGTGGAGGGACGAAGAAAGAGAGGGATACCATCGATTAGATGGATTGATACAGTGACTGGGGTAATGAGGATAGGTGTGTCGGAGACAGTAAAGTTGGCACAGGACAGAGCAGGTTTCAAGGCTGTTGTGCATAGGGTTGCTATGAGTGGTAGGCAACTCGATGGCACATAACAACAACAATTAGTACGTAAGAGAATGAAGCCTTTTGTCAGTAACTTCATTATATAGTCAGTGAAACATTGTGATAGTTACTTCTTGACTACCTAACCTGAATTATGGTTGGTCATGTTTATAATATCACAAATGACATGAAACACAAGATAATAAAGTGTGTTTTTGCCTATTTTAAGTCACTTTTAATTTTTTCATTTTTTTCCCATTTTTTTAATTTAAATAGCATTCCGTTTATTCCAAATATTTAGTATTGGCTTCCCATATTTCCCCCCTTTTGTTTTTATCATAATTATGTTATCATCTAGATGAGCATTTTAAGTCACTTTTGATGGAGTTTTTTTGATATTGTTTCTGTATTCCAGACATGAAAGAAGAAATGCAGGAAGACCACAGATTGCCAACATTTTACTATGGACAGCTTGCACTTCCTTTAATATTACATAAATTTGCACTTATTTTCAAATAATTATAGGAGTGCTGGTGGCAGGTAGCATAGTGGATTAAGTGTTGAGCTGTTTGAACCTACCATCCCTTTAAAGAAGAAAAATGAGGGCGTCTGCTTCCCTTAAGATTTACAATCTCAAAACCCAGTGGCACAGTTCTTCTCTGACCCATAAGTCAGAATCAAGCCTATGACAGTGAGATTTTTGTTACTTTGAAATTCTTAAACCAGCCCCAATTTTCAATCACAGTCACTTTCACTTTCTGCATGTGCAGCTTTTACATCATTTAAATGGCTTTGAACTATAGTGAAGCCCCTGTTGGGTTTCTGAGACTGTAAATCTTTATAGGGGAACATTGGCCATCTTTCAACCACATTTGCATTGTCAACCTTTTGGTTAGCAGCCTGAGACATTACATACTACACCTTTAGGGCACCTTTTTCTCCCTATTAAAGTAATTATAAAGAAGAAATACACACACACACATACATACATATATACATATATATATATAAAATGTATGTATGTTTATATATATAGAAGGAACTTGGTTTCACTCTCTCCAAGACAGACTTAATTGTTTTCTTGACGGTCCATGGTATGTTCATGACTCACCTCTAGCACCACAACTCAAAGGCATCAATTTTTATAAAGTATGTTTTCTTGTTTGAAGAAAGCAAAGGAATACTTCTAGTTGTGAGGGTTGAAGTAATGAAACTTTGAGAAGTGCGAATATAGCACCGGACAACAAACTGCATTTTTAAAAGAGTAGCACCGGACAACAAACTGCATTTTTAAAAGAGTCTGTAGATTGGTATTTTGTATTAGTGCCTAATATTCCATGCAAGCAGGCGTTACTCATTCATTTATTTTATTTTTTTTACAGTACTGGGTTAGGATGAAATTAGACTCAGAAAGAAGAAAATGCACAGCAGACAGAAGGTCTGTTTGAAAATCTTAAGTTAGTTAACAAGCCTTTCTTGAGTGCTGGTCTTCTGGAAAATACTATGCAATATAGTTATAAGAGAGTTAAAAGCACTGTAAGAATTCTTTTAAGGATAGACGTTTTCTTGGAGGCTCTTTAAGTTGATATTTATTAAAAACTCTTAGTCTCTTAGTAGAAGTTACAAGCTTGCTCAACAAGTTCTCAATTAACTTCACAATTGGAAACAAATAAACAGAAGAGATAACATGTGTTCAGAATAACCCTTAAAATGAGAAATGCTTATTGAACCAGATCACAAAGAAAGGAGATTTACAACTGTAGGAAAAGTAAGTGTGAAAATAATGTCTAATTTAGGGGATTAAAACAAGCTTGGAAGCAGGAGTGGCATCTACTTCCGAAATATCTTGCCTCTGGAAACCGTATGAACCTGGAGAAATGATGAAAGTTATATAGAGTGTTCAGGTCTTTTGTTCATAGGGTCACTATGAGTTGCCTATGACTCAACAGCACAACAACAGCATAGAGAGAGACCAGTTGGCCAAATATACAAATATACAAAAAGTGATGCTACCAAGCATTGACTTTAATCCGCGGCCCTCAGGCTTGGTTTTAGTTGTTTTTGGTCAAACATTCTTGTAAGTGATATAGCACTGGTCTGTCCATTTGCAGTACAGAGGTAACTCATGGTTGCTGTGATGTTAAACACTGTGAAACAGATGAGGCGTCTATGACTTGACGGCAGTTAACAACAACATATATATATACACACAAACACCCCTCTTCTGACTTACAAATTTTAGTGTATCTCATTAGTAACCTGAAGAATGTCTATAGTATAGTCCATTAATATCAGTCTCTCAAACTTACAGAAGTGAGAAATTCAGATTGTACTTATGATCCTTATAGATTTAATGAATGATGTGATTTCCCCCTTAGGAGCTCTCAGGAAATGGGTCAACCAGGACCCTCTGGAGATAGTGATTTGGCTACTGCACTGCATCGCCTTAGTCTTCGTCGACACAACTATTTAAGTGAAAAGCAGTTCTTTGCTCAAGAATGGGAGCGGAAGATGCAGGTTTTGGCTGACCAGAAAGAAGAGATTAGTGGCTGCAGCACACCCACAGAAAGCCTTGCTACTCTCTGCACTGACCAGTCAGAGATAACAGAGCTCAGCAGTGCCAGTTGCCTTCGAGGTTTCATGCCAGAAAAATTACAAATTGTCAAACCCCTTGAAGGTAAGAAACTCATAGGATCCTTTTCCAAACAATGTGGTTTATTGGACCCTGGAACTTAGAATTGTGTTGTAATTACAAGAGCAGTGTGCAAAGAAGAGATATTTAGTATCCATAGGTTTCATTGGGTCAGTGCATTGTGGTACTTTATGGAAAATTAGTGAATCCAGAGATCTGCTTTCTCTGTCATTAGCTGTCCGGTCTGTTTTACTGATGTTATTGGAGAGAAGAGTAATAGTCTTCCCTTGTTATTTGTTAGAAATATTACTGACAGCCATTTCTGTACTAAGATAAATGACATATTATGACCTACAAATAAAAATTTTACATATATGTATATTTAAAATCTTTTATCTCTGTATACGTTTTGAAAAAGAAAAAGAAAAAAAAACCCCACAAAACACTCAGTTCTTTGGCCAAGAAATGGGATTTGCTTAGAGATGTACATACCTATACTTTTCTCTTTTTCATTCTGTTAGTTAACATTCTTTGTAAGTTCTTCAGACATATTGAAATTAAAAGAAAACATTTCTATTTTGTGAAGTATTAACAATCTTCAGATAATCCTTTGGTATTATAAGAAGAGTTCTATGGAAGACAGAATCTAATTAAATAATCTATAGCTGTTGCTATCCAGTCAGTTCCTACTCAGAGTGACCCTGAAGGACAGAGTGGACCCCCCTCCCCCGCCATCGGGTTTCCAAGGCTGAAATCTATGGGCGCATATTGCCACACTTGCTTCTGCAGAGTGGCCGATGAGTTCAAACCACTGACCTTTCACTTAGCAACCGACCCCTTGACCACACCAGTCGGACTCCCTAATTGACTTAGAAGGACTGTAAATTCAGAGGATCTGGAACTTAGTTTTATCCATTAAGGATCAATGCAGATGCTCGTCACAGTGTTTTTTGGTGAAATGACTATGGTGGCAAAGTGTATGGAGAATTGCATCTAGAGCATAAGCTCAGGGTGATCATTAGGGTTCAGAGACTGGAACTAAGGGGATAGAGCCCCCTTATACCATCTCTTCATTTTCCTTTTCTTTCTGGGAGTTTGGAGAAAGGAGAGTTGTGATCAGAGTGGGGAGCTAAATAAAACACTGAGAATTCAAGAAATTCTAACCTACGGGTTTAGCTTCTCATTTCAAAGTTCAGAGGCAAAATCCCAGGCCAAGACAGTCTTGATTTTATCACCAGGGAAAATGTCACCCCAGTTCTCATGTTTATCTTCTTCTTGTCATTCTGCTTCTTTATTAGGCTGTTTTTATTTTGTTTATTTCATCACCTGCTTTATGAGGAGGAGGGGGGAGTGATGAAAATCACACAACAAAACAAAACAATTTGCTAATCCTGTATGTATAATATATATTTTTATATAATATTAATATACTTATAGGCAGGAATGGCATCTACTTCCTAAACAATATGCCTCTGAAACTCTGTGAACTTTAATAAATGTCGATAGTTATAGAAAGCTTCAGGCCTTTTGTTCACAGAGTCACTGTGAGTTGTGCTCGACTCGATGGTAATCAACAACAACAACAACAACATATATACTTATATATAATATAATAATATGATAACATTGATTATATTTTTTATATTGCTTTAGCTGTACTTTTTTTAATGTTAACTTTTGAAGTAGATTATTCATACCTTTTCTCTTTTTTAATTTATTATTAATTTCAATGAAAATTTACAGAAGCTTTGGATTTCCATTCATTCATTGTTGCACTATTCATACTTCTTCTATCTTGTCAGTTTCCACAGAACATTTTTAATTTGTAAGTTGTATTAAAATATTAAAAGCAAATAACCTATTGCTATCATTCTTACCATTATACATGCAATTTTGGCTTTTGTTTCAAGACTCAAGATTGTGGAAAATTTAAGACATTCCTTTTGTTTTGTTTGTCTTACACCCTCAGGCTCACAAACGCTATACCATTGGCAGCAGCTTGCGCAACCAAACTTGGGAACTATTCTTGATCCACGACCAGGAGTCATCACTAAAGGCTTTACCCAGCTGCCCAAAGATGCCATCTATCACCTCTCAGATTTGGAAGAAGATGAAGAGGAAGGTATCAGTTTTCAAGTTCAGCAACCCCTTCAAGTGGAACAGGAGCCGTCAACATCCAAGCCAGTAACAGGGATCTTCCTCCCACCCATTACATCAGCAGCTGGGCTGGTTACAGGTAAGGGAGGTCGAACATATAGCCTAGTAACTAGTGTTACTTTGCATTCTGACTTACCATATAACTAGCTGGCTTTCGCTGCTCAGTTCTCAATGGAGGGTTCTTAGTCTTGACTACGTAAGATAATAAAAATCTATAGCAGTATCAATTAGTGGCCTTTCTAATCCTCTTCACTATGCCTTAGTAATCCCTAGGGAAGTAGATTGGGCAGAGAGAGAGGGAATCCGTTGGTGGTGCTCAAAGCTTTAGGTCCCAGGATCTCTTTACATTCCTAAAACTCATTGAGGATTCTAAGATGTCCATCTGTGACACACATGAAATCAAAATTGAGACTTTAAGAATAATTACATCATGCAAATAACATGATGATACTTTGCATTTTTGCAAGTCTCTTTAGTTTGATCCACCAGGCTCAAGCCCGTTGTTGCAGTCACTGTCATGAGGATGGTGCAGGACAGGCCAAGGTTGTTTAGTGGGTCACTTTGAGTCATGATCGACTTGATGACACGTAATAAAAATAGCAATCTATTAAAGGAACCCTGGTGGTATAGTGCTGTTCATGTTGGGTTGCTAACTGAAAGGTCTATAATTTAAGTGTACTTTCTGCTCCAGAGGAGAAAAATGGACAGTCTCCTCCTATAAAGATTTGTAGCCTCATAATCCTCAGGTAGAGGGTTACCAGGAGTCAGAATTGACTCTGCGGCAGTCTGTTTTGGGTTGGTATAGTCTAATGAGCATGCTGTCATTATAAAAACTTTGAAGTATTTTGAAAGTTAGCAGAATGTGACACTGAGAAGGAAGTACCTTGTTTGCCACATGGAGTTAGAAGAATGACACTGATAGACTTACATGATACTGGGTTACTTCCGACATTCAATTTGACAAGGCCCCATATCAAAAAGTATTTGGTCGTGACATATCAGAGAAGAGACTTATATCCAGAATTTATAAAATACTTGAGCACCACAACAAGATAAAGGTAAATAATCCAATAGAAAAATGGGCCCAGGATATGAACAGACACTTCACTGAAGAAGACATTCAAATGGCTAACAAGCACATGAAGAAATGTTCAAAATCACTAGCTCTAAGAGAGATGCAAATTAAAACAACTATGAGATACCATCTCACCCCAGTCAAAATTGCAAAATTTAACAGAATAGCAAGCAACAAATGCTGGCAAGGTTGTGGAGAAACTGGAACCATTTTTCACTGTTGCTGGGATTGTAAAATGGTGCAACCACTGTGGAAGGCAGTATGGCGCTTTCTCAAAAAGTTGCAAATATAGATACCATTCACAAAAGGACAAATACTGCATGGTGCCACTGTTGTAAAACCGGACTGATCTTGGGCTTGGGGAGAGACTGAGAAAGATGGGTTCAACACTGTATACTGCATTGAAACAGATGAGGGAGAAAACTGTTTAAAAGGGATATGTGATTAGGTATTTTTGTCATGACAGGAGTCTAGAGCG